TACAAGTTTCCTTTGCCTTGACCACCGTCACACCGCGAGTCGCACTCTCACTCAAACTCACACATACGCAGCGACACACACACACACACACACACACCTAGTTCCCCCTTCAAACCTAATCTTCGCCTCTTTCTCGAGGGCTCTAACCAGACGGAGCGGAGGGTGGTTGTCGGCCGTGGCCCGCTACCCCGTAGCGGGCCTGGGGGGAAAAAACCTCTCCGCTCTCCGTCCGATAGAGTGCCCTCGGTCAAATAATCCCATCAAGACTTTGACGCCGCCAGCCCCGCCCTTTGCCACGCCCAGTTCGTTACAAACGTCACGCGTCCCCCTGACGCTGGCAAAAAACAAGAATGAGCTCCTCCTCACAGCCCTCTTCCCCTTTACTGCAGGCTGCGGTACGACCAGATACGGGCCCTCATGTCGCCCGATCCCGTAGCAAAGTACCCGCCGGTTGGGCTTGGCGCCACAGAGATGACAGAGTTCTTGTGTCCCTGAAGCATGAGCTGCGTGGCACCTGTGCGGGGGTCCCAGAACTGCACGCCCCTATCCTTGGAGCCCGACATGACCCATGCGGCATCGGGTGTTAGAGCCACGGACAGCACAAAGTCCTGCCGTCCAATGTTAGCCAGAATACAGAGACAAGGGAAGCTCCACGCAAGAAAGGCACGCCTGGTGCGCGTGGCGGATACGTACCCTGTGGCCCTCGAAAGACTTGACGCAACGACCGCCCTTGGGGCCGGGGTTGGGAAGACCCCGTGGTGTCGACAGCTCCCACATCTTGATCGTCTTATCGAGACTGCCGCTGACGAGGTCCTTGCCATTGGGCGAGAAGGCAACGCTGTAGACACTATCCTTGTGACCGTCGGGTCCCTCGAGGCGCTCGAGGAGGTAGCCCTGGTGGATATCCCAGACGCGGACGCTCTTGTCGAGTGACCCCGCCGCGACGTACTTGGTGTCGGGAGAGATGGCAACAGTCGTGACGCCGTCTTCTATGGTGAGCGTCAGGGTGTTGCTGCCGGCCTCTATGTCCCACAGACGAACGGTCCTGTCGCCACTGCCGGAAGCGATCGTACGACCATCACGGGGCAAAGTCGAGCGAGTAGATATCTTGCTCGTGACCTGAGAACGTGTTGCGGATCGTGCGCGTCTGAATGTCCCAAACCTAGAGAGAAGTGCCGGGGCCAGCTCAGGATGCCTACGTCAACCAGACACCATGCTAGAAATGAACGGAACCCTAATCAGCTTGTCCTCGGGCCCCGGTTGCCAAGGAACTTGCCGTCGGGCCT